AAGTATTTCAAAAATTTAAATCAATTATATATTCCACAGAAGTATTTTTCAGGTAGCCGCTCTAGGTTATTCTCGGTTAAAGAGTGCTTAACCGGGGTAAACTCATGATTCGGGAGTAATTGGTTAATTTTGTTGGGCAAGATTCATGATCGGTACCCTGTTAAGCTGTTTATGCAGATTCGGGGTAATTGTTCGTAATAACATTGAAGGATCAGGGGTAATTGGTTAATTTTGTTGGGTAATATTCGGGGTAAATGGTTGGTAAACTATAATTTAAGCCGTTTATGGAAAATGGCGCCATGCGCTCGGTCATGTAACTACTACAAGGTATATAGGGATTTGCTCTATTCTCGGATACAATGCCTTCATGGTCGTAGTATGGCTGTATTGAACCTTCGCTGTTTCATTTATGGGACCCAGCCAACTTTAGGAAATGCTATCGTTAGCATGATCTAGACTATAAAGAACTATTATCTTCTGTATTGCAGTATTAAAATTATTAGCTCCTGTATTGTAAAGAGATTTGTATGGTTCCTCTCGTCTGACTTTTGTAGGAGGTCGGACTAGCCCTGCTTCACTCCAATGTCTTTTTAGAAGTGGGGGAATAATTATCGTTGGCGAGGGGAAAGAGAAGCACAAATCCAAGAAGTTATAGATTTCTAGACATTGAAGGCCATATTTACATATTTAGTTTTACTTTTCCAGGAAATCAAAATATATATATATATAATTCTCAAATGAACTTAGCATGGATTTATCGAATTTGTTCGGAATTAATATTTGATCACCCAATAGAAACAGTCAAAATGTATCTCTATGGTTTAAATACATAATATTTTTGCAAAACCATTTGTGTTCTTTAACACAATGGGTAAGGGTATTTTTGGTGGAACGTAGGGGCCAATTTTCAACGCATTCGAGGAGTTATCAGTTCATGATCGTTTCTCGACTGGGTTTGGATTGTGTCACCTAAGAATTTATACAGGGTTGACCAAGAAGCACTGGTTACGCGGGCACATTGGCGGTGTGGTCTTCGTAACCTCAGCATTCACAGGAATTCGAGAGGTGAGGATGTCCACTCCCCTCTCCAAGCTCACCCTCATCCCCCTCCCCTCTCCAAGCTCACCCTCATCCCACCCCTTCCCACCCCAATTGTAAACAATGTTCTGTATTTTGAACTTTTGACGACAGCGTGAGGGTTCGCCTTCGTCCCTCACCTACCTACTTTGAGTACCGTTCACGAAAATATATCCTGTCAAATGGTTATCAGAATAAATATCTAAACAATTGCTTATGCTGGTAATCATTAAACGGTACAATATATAGTTACGGGCTCGTTTATATTCTTATATAATTTGTTCATGGACTGACTGACACGTATAATTTATTAATAGATATTGTAACAAAGCAATGATAACTGATTTAAAAGTTGCAACATTGAAATGTCAACTTTATTTGAATGTGTATTCGTGAATTCAATAAAACATTCAATATACTCGCGATTAAAAATATTTTGCAAACTCCAAAGTGTGGCAAGTAAAATAACGCTGTGACAAGTAAAATAATCAACGCTGAGTGCGTTGATTCAGATAATAGGCGTTTTAGCTCCCCTTTTCTTGAAACTATTCCCTCTTTTTCCCCCTCTTCATCCTCTCATATGAGTAGCTCTGTATGAGTGTAGCTCTACAAATTCGAAACGCTGCAGCGATCTCCGCTGCAGCGGAGTGACACAGCGACAATAATTTTTTCAAGGCTACTTCTCGCATTGTAAATATTATTTTTAGTTTCCTGCTTCTAGGCCGACACTTTTCTAACGGCAAAGTGCATAGCGAGGTTGTGATTGATTGAAGTAATACCGTAATATGATTATTAAAATAATACCGTAATTGATGATTATATATACTGTATGATTGATTGATGTAATAAAGTAATATGCTCTGACAATTTTAGTTCTACTAAACACCTATTTATAGCCTTTGTGTAGAACTGGGAACGCTTGATACTGTGCCAGAATTTGTTCGAGAAGAACTTTTCTTTCTCACGCATTAAGCTAGAACGGGAAATGAGTGGCTGTGGGTTTGAAGGCAGTGCGGAGTTATATAAATAAGATGTTCTCATAAAAGTTTGAAGTCTGAGATTGATTGAAATAATTTGTAGAGATGCATGAATAGCTTATTAAGGAAGAATTTAGAAATTAAGGTAGTCAAGCGGGCACAATTTTTTCGCATAGTGATCCATCTATTAATTTTATTGTCATATTATTGAGATCTCGTGTTTTATGTCAAAAATCGACAGTTGAATCTATAGATATTTTTACCAAAATTGCATATAAATACGTGAACAACGCTGTTTTGTGTGCTGAAATTTTATTCGCTTCGGGATTTTATTTCTTTGTGTATCAAATAGATATTTTTTGACATTTATTTAACTAAGAAGAAATGTTAACTAAGAAGAAATGAGTATAGATCGTTTTCGGACGAAAAAAATTTTGGTAAGCATTTATAATTCAATGCCACGCGATCGCTATATGGTTATCAAAACTTTTCAAAATAGTGATTAAATTTTAGTTTGAAATTTTCACGCCCAGTAGATTGACACGTAGTTAAGTGTAGAGGTTGCCGCGTTCATTTTGAATTAGAATTACTCTAGCCTACCGATTAATTCATAACAAGGATCTGATTGTATCTGATGACAATAAAATCATTGTGTGTGAATTGGGGCGATGAATAAAACTTTTGAACGTTCGATTGCGATGTTTACTTTCAAATCTGTTTATCAATTTATTAAACTTACAGCTGAATTCCAGCTTCGTTCAGTCTGGCTCATCGCTAACATATACGGATAGATGAGTGTGCTTAGAACTTAGATCATTGGTCTCGATTTGCATCGTTCCGTACTGTTAAACATTAACCAATAAGAAACTTTTCTTAAAATCAGTTTCATTTCACATTCAATTGATGTGATATCGCCGTTTTTTGGGACGTACGTGTGATGAGAAGTATATAATCATTTCGTGAACATATATGCAGTTCAACGTCTTAATTTCAACGTCTTTTACTGTGAAATTTAGAGCATGACTGATTCGATGTACGAGCTCAAAGCTTTTAAAGTTCTAGACTATAACAGCTCACTAGATCTACACGATAGTGACTTCAAAATGTTTTTGGTGTCGCCTGGTGCTGTCCGATTAATTTTTGACCCCTGCAAGAATCAGCTGGAGCCAGGATGAAAGGCTGCGTGTACAATGCAGGTATATATAGTATGTACATGGTTCATCCCTGTTTTTGAAGCGTGGGCCCTCAATAGAAACCTGCAGGACCAAGGAAGAAAGGTCGTGTGTACAATACAGGTATATAGTATGTACAAGCTGACACCGAAAAAGTTCCATCGCCGACGCCTGCTGATGCAAGAATAAACATCTCTGGGATGCTGGCTTGGTATGAGATTTAAGTTAGGGAATCAACAAGCTTGCCTCTGGCCTAGCCGCGCATAGAAACGATCCTAGCGCCAGCGGCAGCTCGTGGAACTTATTTTACGGACACGCCTCGTACATGGTTTACCCATGTTTTTGACACGTGGGCCCTCCATAGAAACCACCTGGGACCAGCATGCTGCTGTCATGTGGAGGCAACCCAAAATGGAGTTGGTTATGACGTAAGATGGATATATAGGCCCATGAATAAAACCATGTTGGGCCAATTAAAGGCAACCATGTAGCCAATATGTGGCAGGCACATGGTTTTGTCATGTGGGAGCTATGTTGGCTCTATGTAGAAATCGTGTGATTGCTACACGGCCTAGCTGGGCAGAATTTTCACAAAAACCATGAGGCTGCTGTATGTCACTTCCACATGTGTCCCATATTGTTACGCCATGTCCCATATTGTTACGCCACCTTGGGCCAACATGGGCCCGTTCAAAAATTGTTACTAGGTTATGGACGCTTAGGCGCTGTTGGCCTCGCAACACGTGAGCGATGAATCGCCGCTCGCCTACAAGACACCTCTGTGGTGAGCAGTCGTCGGCTGCGTCTGTCAGAGTGCCAGAACTGGGAGAGACTCAATTTGGTTTAAGAAGCACCATTCATGGAAGTTTGGCTGCATCACCCAGATTTTACGGGCCCAGTGTATTCTTAATATCCCCCGATGGCGAGTGCGTAGGATATTCTGCCTAAGATACGAAATTTTTTGACATCATAACAAATAATAAGACAGTGAGCGTTGAAGAAAATTTACAATCCCCTCTATGCCGTTCAAGAAAGCAAATATCTGGCTACCCGATAACAGACTTGCGGTATTAAAGCGTCAGTTTAACACTCTGGAACGTCTGAAACGTTCCCCTGACGAATGGTCTGAGTGCCTAGCCGCGATGTAAAGAGACATCAATAACAACCACGTCGAGCGCGTTCCAAAAGATGAGATCATGGACACTGCGGGCGAAGCATGATATTTACCAATATTCCCCGTGAAACACCCGAGGAAGAGCAAGATTCGACGGTTCTACGATAGCGCCGCCACATACTTAGGAGTAAGTTTGAATTCAACCCTCCTGTAGGGCCCAGGGGCCATACTTTCAAAATTCGCCAAGTGAACGTCAGTACTTACGCTCTATTTTCTTGTCTATGATTGGTGGATTTTGCTTGAAAGGCCGTCAATGATTGGCTGATGAACTTACGATCTCTTAACTTTTTTGAAAGTATAGGCCCAGATGTGAACAACTTGCTGAGAGGCGTTCTGTTGCGTTTTCGCAGAAACGTCGCTGGATTCGTGGCGGACGTCGAATCTATGTTCAATAGTTTTAGAGTGAAGCCAGAACACCGAAATTTCATGATTTTTTTTGTTTCGATAACAATGATCCTGAGAGGGCGTTAGTCCAATATCGTGTCTTGTAGCCCAGCTATTGCAACGTTGGGGCTTCGAAGGGTGGCTGCCGAGTTGGACGACGTAGCGCTTACTAAGGGAAACACTGACTTGACCGAGAAAGTTTGAGAATATATTCATATGGGCTTCTACGTTGATGATGGTCTTGGTCCGTCATCTAGCCCCGAAGAGGCGGTGAGAGTGCTCACTGCCGCGCGAGCCGTGCTGGGAATTTTTAACATAAGGCTGCACAAGATTTTATCGAATGAGCAGACGGTCTTAAAGTTTTTTCAGGCATCGGATCGCGATCCAAAGTCTCTGATGTTTGAATTGGATGACTCCGCCTTGCCTCAAACCCTTGGAGTGGCTTGGGATACATCCAGAGATGCTTTTGCGTTTTAAATTGAAATACCAAGCCCTCTTTTTACCAAGCGGCGCGTGTTGGCAACTATAAATTTCATGTATGATCCTCCTGGCGTGGTGTGCCCGGTGGTGTTGACCGGACGTCTGGTTCAACGTAAACTGCTACCTCGAATTTCGGACGACATCACTCACTTCCGCGAGTTGGGCTGGGATGACGAGCTACCTAGAAGCGTCAAAGCTGAGTGGGAGTCCTGGAAAATGGATTTGAAAGAGCCAGAGTCCATCGAGATCCCACGATGTTTCATCTCGAAAAACTTGGGTAAGAGCGTCAGACAAAGTATACTTTCCTATTGCGATGCTTCAGACGCGGCAATCGGAAACGGAATCTTCAAGAAATCCACGGATACTGAGGGTAAGATGTAAATTGCATTCCTTTGTGTAAATAGTAGGGTGAACTCCAAGGGGTGCCCATTTCGTCCCCGCGTTTGGAGTTGAGCGCGGCAGCAGAGGCGGCCTCTTCGTCCGCTAAGATCGTAGCGGAGCTTGAATGCAAAGTATCCACCGTGCACCATTATTCGGACTGCAAGGTTGTCTTAGGCTACACTCAGAACGAGACTAGACGGAATTCCAGGTACGTCACTGGGCGAGCTGAGGTCATTAGAACGGTAAGTGAACAAAAAAACTTGCACTACGTGACCACGGCCAGTAGCCCTGCTGACCATGCCTCCAGACCAATTTCGACTCGGAGTCTCGTGGAAAGTATGAAGTATTTGGCTGAGGGGCCCCAACTTCCTAAGGCGGGAAATTGTGGATCCTGGCCCTCGTCATACTGGATCTGATGTCAATCTCCCGGAGTCTTTGAATACGACGGAGGTCGTTGTCCTGAAAGCGGACGTTGGGCCTCAACCTGGTTGGGCCTCAATCTGGGTGGAGTCTACCGGCGAAACGGTAGGTGGCATACTGCCTTTATAATCGCCGCTGTGGTCTTGAGACTGGTCTGCGTCAATCAGGATCGCGTGCGGATGCTTTTGGCAACGTCGCTCGCGACGAAGGAGGGCTAAGATTTCTCGAGCTGCGCGAGAGACGTCCTCGTGCGTGACACCCAGCGCGTGGCGTTCAGAGAAGCCATTGATCGAGCTCCCTGGAGAGTAGATGGCGGCTTCCTGAGAACCATACCATGGCGGCTCTATGCCCTGTCATTGGTTTGGACGGTGTCGTTGAGGTCGGCAGCCGCCGGAGTAATGCAAGATGCATTTTTCTCTAAAGCACCCCAAATTATCCCAGAGAAGCATATCGTCAGCGCTTGTCTGATAATCAATTACCAAATTTTGAGCGGATATCATTGTCAACAACAACATATTACGTTATAGGAGCCTTGCGGAGCGCTGGCTTTTACCTCGAGAACGGACGCCGGCAGCTGAGGAACTTCATTAAAATTTGTGCCATCTGCCGCCGTCTCAGAGCGAGAAGCTGAACTCAACTAATGGCTGATTTACCTGTGGACAGAGTCACCGCGACGGCACCTTGCATAGCGAAGGGCATTGACGTTATGGGCCCGTTCAGTGTTGCTTACGGCCTGTCTAGTCTAGGAGTTCAGGTACTACAGTAGGAAGTGCTGGATTTTGGTCTTGGTGTGCATATTATCTCGTGTTGTTAACGTCGAAATTCTCCCACACATCATCCGTGAAAAATGCATTGCGAAGGTTCTTAGCGTTGCGTGGTAGGTGCAGATTAGAAAGAGGCGACTGGGGCACTAATTTCGTTGGAGCCAGCTATCAAGCAGAAATTGTCGATATCTCCAGAGACCTCGTGGATCGTGGGTGTAAATTTGAGTTTAACCCACCGCATGCCTTTCATTTTGTAGGAACTAGGAAGATGGGAACGTATGATAGAATAGATTCGTCGTGCTATGTAATTCACCACCCTGCTCACTGCTCAGGACACCCCGAGCCGCTCTTTCCATGTTCTCAACCCTCAACAGAAAGCCGCAACTATCGAAACTTCGACTCCTCTGTGGCAAATATCTAAAGATCCAAATGATCCTGTACCCATTAGCCCATAGCAACTGGTGACATTGAAATGCCCGAATCAGTTCTGGAAGTTTATGACTCAAATCTGGAAGTTCTTCTGGAAGTTTATGGTGGCCCAGTGGTTAAAGTTCAGAGTACCAAGATTGGAGCAGAGAGGTGCGGGTTCGATCCCAGCTCTGTGCGCCAGTTTCTGGTCAGAATCGGCAAGGAGGCCGGGCGGTTAAGCGCGCGCGCAAATCAAAATTGTAGCAGTGAGTTGCGAGTTCGAGACCGCAAAATGCTGTGGATGTTCTGCAATGTTAAGAATCGGCGACAGGCCTACGGCCTAATAAACGCTGAAACCGCTATTATTATTATTATTAAAGGACCTGCTTAAATACGGCAAACATAGGTAGAAGAGAGTAAAGTTCTTGACGGACATTTTCTGGGCTAAGTGGCGAGAATTCTATCTATAAGGACCATCAGCTCAGGCGGAAATGGCAGGAAAGAAGCGCTCTGTGACCGTGGGGCATGTACGTACTCATTAGGGAACCAACTGTATAAGCGCAGAGTGGCACATGGGCGTTCTGATCAGCTCAGCTTCTGAGCGTGAAGATCAGCTCAGGTGGCCTCGTTCGGTCAGCTCGTGTTAGGACAAACGGTGCATGTTAATAGAAAGAGGGTAAAATACTAAGAGAGGCCCATCTGCAAACTTGTTGTCGTAATTGATAGTGTGATTTTGGATTTGGCCGCCGTATTAGATTTTATTGCTTACTTTGTCATTATAAATCAATGGGGACGCGGTGTCACTTATCCACAATAAACTATTTCAGCGCCCGCGGTTGGGAGCATGGTTGAATTAATACAAGGTTGACCCACGCGCAGCTGCTCTTTGCGGATGTCGTTTGTTGTTCCGACTGTGACGTCACCGTGGGCCCAAAATGTAAATACTGTCGCGAAAGACGTTGTTTTTGTGCCGATTTTGAGATCAATTTAAAAAAAATTGCCCTCCTCAAAATCGTTATAAAAATCACAGTAGCTTCAGCTAGTCTGTCTCTAAGTATATAGGGCTTATTGAGCAATTATATCGTGTAAAACAAATAAATTCGAAACAAACAAACAGAGCCGACTTGCTGAGAAGCCGTAATCGGCAAGGAGTTCCTGTCCGATCATTCAGAAGATGACCATAAAAAATGAAGCTCTCTCCTCAACGAATCCCGCTTATATCAAGTGAGTTGATGTCTAATTATCTCTGATTAATTATGTCAGTTTTAATCTGATACTTCTCAATTTATTTACGATGTTGTACATGTTTCAGCGAGACTGTGAGTAGAATCAGATCCTTGTATTTGATGTGACACTGGCACCT